CGTACCCTGCCTCTCAGGGGAGTTGCTCTGAATCCAATTTTCACTTGAATAAGTGAAAAAAAAACATTAAATAATCCAGGTGTGTGGCATTTCAAAGACCTCCTGATTGATTTAGCTCCCCTTTAGAAGCAAAGAAAGCTCATGAAATGAATGGAGGCTCTGGCACCTTTGCTCTGCAGAGCTTGGGACTCTTTGCCCAGCTGGCCACTGTGACCCCCAGCTGTGGAGAAGGGGCCCACATCCCCACGACCCACCTTGGACAACGTTTCTCCTCCAGCAATGGTGGAGAGTGGCACCACAGGTCCATCCCGTGGTGTGACCCATGGACATGGGTAAGGCTCCACCTCGAGGGCTGTGTCCAGTTTTGGGCCCCTCTCAACAGGAAAGACATTGAGGGGCTGGAGCGGGTCCGGAGAAGGGCAACAGGAGCTGGTGAGGGGTCTGGAGCACAAGGAGAGGGTCTGGAGAACTTCTGAGGGAGCTGGGTGTGTTCAGCCTGGAGAAAAGAAGGCTGAGGGGAGACCTCCTCACTCTCTCCAACTCCCTGGAAGGAGGGTGGAGCCAGGGGGGGGTCGGTCTCTTCTCCCAAGGAACAGGCAATAGGACAAGAGGAAACAGCCTCAAGTTGCACCAGGGGAGGTTTAAGATGGATATTAGGAGACATTTCTTCACCAAAAGGGTTGTGAAGCCTTGGAACGGGCTGCCCTGGGAAGTGGCGGAGTCACCATCCCTAGAGATATTTAAAAGACATGTAGATGAGGTGCTGAGGGACATGGTTTAGTGGTGAAGTGTTGGGTTAATGCTTGGACTCTATGATCTTAAAAGTCTCTTCCAAGCAAACCGATTCTATGACTCCGCACCATGTCCCCTTTGGAGGGCAACACTCCCCAGAAAGGCAAGACCACCAGGTCTCCAACCCACAGCCCTTTGGAGCCTCTCCTCCTCTTTAGAGTCCCATTTTAGGTGATCAGGCAAAAGGGAAGCGGACACATGGCTGCATCTCAGTCCTGTGGGGACCAGCCATTGTGCAGAACTACCACAAGCCAAAAAAAATAATAAATAATAATAAAAAAAAGAATTAAAAAAATAAAGAGGCCAACTACAACAATGGCAGGTTGTCTCCGTGTTGCCCAGGGCGAACAGAACAGATGATGGCATCGCTGGGAGCTGCATTTGCTTTTAATTGTCCTCGTTCCGCTGAATAACTAATTTTCTCCTCCTCCCACACAACAGAAGGAAAAAAAAAAAAGAGAGAAAGCAAAAAGCAATAAAAAAAAAAAGAGAAAAAGCATGGGGTTTTTTTGGAAAGGATGAGTTGACTCAATTCCGTCCCTACAGCGCATGACAGCAGGCTGCAGTTTTTAGCTTTGCATCCAGGCAAGTTGAGAATATCGCGGCGTGGATTTGCTCTGCTTCGAGTCTTCTGGGATCAGCTAAAAAATAAAAATAAATAAATAAAAAATCAGTGTTATTCTGGAGAGAGGAGGACACGGAAGCACTAAGGGCTTTGTGCTCGCTCTGCTCTGGTGATGTAGCCAAGCGAAGGTGGTTGTATTCCCAAGTTATTTTATGGGCATGGGAGCGCTGGGAGATGCTGGGAAGCTGGTGAGATCCGAGCATCACAGCCAGGGGAAGGAGGGGATCTCCTCCACCTGGAGATGAACCTCCCTGGGACTGTTCCCCAGCAAAGCCATCGCTCTTCCTTTACCTGTTAAGGACCAGCTCACATTCCCAGCCTTTCCCCGCAGAGGCTGAAAGGAAAACCCCATCCAGGCTGAAGAGCAGATGACCCAAAAAACCCCCCCCAAAGCACGTTTGGCAGGGACCGAGTCCAGCCAACATGGTCTTATGAATTAAAAAAAATAAATTACATATTTCAATAGAAGTACTTTAAAATCATAACCATGAACTGAGAAACTGTCAGATTAAACAACCACAGAAGAAGAGTGAATGTGATTTTCTCTTTTTGTTTTTTTGTTTTTTTGGTTTTTTTTTTTTTTTTTTTTAAGCAGAAGCAAATACGAGGACAATTACAATGAGCTATAAATAAGATAAGGGGATGATCTTGGGAGTTATTAAAGACCACACGTGGGGAAGCTTCACCCCCCCACACACCCCCAAGCGACCTTAACAGCGTTGCTGCAGCTTCTACCTTCTGTCAGAAAAGGTGGATTACCGTTTCCTACCAACCCTCTCCGCGCCGCTGGTGCTTCAGGGACATGCTCTGAAGGGGGAAGTGAGACCTTTCCATGAGACCTTTCCACAAGACCTTTCCATCAGGAAGAGGAAAGAGCTGGGCGATGCTGGTGTGAAATGGTTGTCCCAAGAAGTTGAGTGAAGGCACCAGGCAACGCACTTTATAGCAGGCGGCTGAGCCTTGTGTCTCATCACAAGGATTTTGGGTGCTGGAAGCCTGTTTGAGCTCAAATGAAGTCCTGTGAAAGGCAGAAAAACCCAAGGATGCCACCTCTTACTCAGAAAGTTTCTGAGATGTGGTGGGATTGTCTGAACCCAAGGGCCGAGCCAGGGAAGTGAACAGAGGGCTTCCCACCACTTCTCCCAGGGAGAAGCCCCCAGCAACCTCCCCATCGACATGTTCCTGCCCCGCTGAGAGTCAACACACCCAGCTGCCCTCCTTCTGCTTGGCAGGGGGGAGGGAAATAAAATAAAATAAAGGGCTTTGCCAGCCAGCCACTGTCTCAAGCTGCTGCCTCTCACCAGCGTTAAATCCACGCCATTTCCTACAGCTGAAAAGCAAATTAGCTCATTAAATCACACACTAAGAGCTGCGCAGAACACAGCGGCGGCGCAAAGCTACCTGCCCATTTCCAGCGGTGCTTCCGCCGACGTTCCCAAAGCTTCACAGCTGGAGAAGGGCCCACACTTGCCTCGTTGCCAGCTGCGTTCTCCCTCTCCAGTTCCACATACCCGGGGTTACCTCCCAGGCCTCTCCTCTCTGCTGGGTCCACCATCGATGCCTCTTTCCCTTCAAGCTCGCTCTGAGAGAGGGTGAAGGCCACAGATCTTCTTCAGGGCTGGTTTTTTGCCGGCAGGACGGGGTGATTTAGGCTGTGCATGAAGTGGAGCCATTGTCCTCTCCGGGCTGCCACAGTGTAACCTCCTGCGCTTCTCCCAGCTCCCAATTCCTTCAGAAGCCAAAGGCCTTCCAGTTCGGAGCGCTTCAGTCAGCTGGGGCGAGTCACAGGGGTCGCTTTACTTCTAACCTGACGTTTCTGTTACAGTCGACAGAGCACAAGACCTCTGCATGGGATGTGCATGGACCCAACTGTGCTCTCACAGAATCACCAAATGGTTTTGGTTGGAAGGGACCTTGAAGATCATCCAGTTCCCACCCCCTTGCCCTGGGCAGGGACACCTCCCACCAGACCAGGTTGCTCCAAGCCCCCTCCAACCTGCCCTTGAACCCCTCCAGGGATGGGGCAGCCACAGCTGCTCGGGGCAACCTGGGCCAGGCTCTCACCACCCTCCCACCAAACAAGTTCTTCCCCACATCTCAGCTCAATCTCCCCTCTTTCAGTGTCAAACCCTTCCCCCTCCTCCCATGGCTCCCCTCCCTGATCCAGAGTCCCTCCCCAGCTTTCCTGGAGCCCCTTGAGGGACTGGAAGGGGCTCCAAGGTCTCCCCGGAGCCTTCTCTTCTCCAGGCTGAACCTCCCCAACTCTCTCAGCCCCCCCTCCCAGCATCTCCGGGGCCTCCTCTGGCCCTGCTCCAACAGGTCCACCTCCTTCCTATGGTGAGGAAGGCTCCACACCAGCAGCAGAGATGAGGTGAGGACACCGATTTTCATGTGTCCACCACCATCCTGTTCTCTGTCCTCGCAGCTCACCATCACACCACTCACACTGCTTTGTAGCTGGCACCACATCCTTTTCCAATTTCTCATATCCCCGTAGTCAACAAGATCAGGACCAGAGAAGAAGCATCATTCCCATTTTGGGGAAGATGGAATCAAAAGCTCTTGACATTTTACAAGAGCCCGGCTGTTTAGTTAAAGATTTCGCTTACATTTCATGATTTGTAACTTAAACAGAGATGCCTTTTGAACAGGAATCTCACTTTTGTTAACGTAGGGTTAAATACAAAACGCAGGGAAAGGTCACATCTGAAAGGAGCCCTTCAAATCAACGACTGGGAACAACAACACACAAACTCTTTCCCAATCCCCAGGTGCAACCCCGAGCCCTCACGGGGCAGCAGAGGGGCCATCTCCAACCACCTTCCTCATCCCTCGGAGACAAAGCAACAGACAATCCCAGCACTTCCATTTTTGAAAAGTGTTTACTCACGTAGTTTGAATAAATTAATTTGCAAATAAAAATTAACCTACAGTATAACATAGTTTGAATAAAATGATTAGAACAACTACAATACAGGGGGTTTCTCGCTGCATAAGTTGCATTACTTAATGCATATAATCTGGAAAAATGTCAAAATCAGTTATATTTCTATGGAAAGGGAGTAACAGCAGTTACTTGTACATGACAGCTAACTGAACTTATAATACAGGTTTCCTGACACATGCATTTTCCTGAGTGAACCAAACAATATATATAATTTCTTTTTAAAAATGGAGAAACAACTGACAGTCAAAAGTAAAGAATTCATGACGTCTAAGCAACATAGGTCTCTCTTTAAACCCAGAAAACGTTAGAACAGCTTCGAAAGGAGAAATTAAAGCTACGCTCTAAGCTACTGAAATTTGCTACTGTCAATTATACAGTCTGGATTTTGAAAAAGAAACAAAAATTTTAAAAAAAAGTTTGAAGCGGGCCAAAAAAAAAAAAAAAAAAGCTGAACTCAATGCTAAGAAGGGTCAGGGCGTGTGTCGTGCACTGGCCTGTCCTGGTGGGTGATGAGGGAGAGGAAGAGGAGAGGCTGCTCAGCAGAGCCCACCTCCTCTCCAAGCATCCCGGTCCAGCCCTGGTCCGAGCTCTCCCACCCTCCCCAGCCCATTCGACACTGCTCCCCCCTGCTCCCCCTCCCCAAAAACCCACCCCCTCTCCCCAAAAACCATAAGGAACAAAACGAGCCTCCTCTTTCAGGTCTGTTAAATGTTTAACACTGGGAAAACCCTCACAAACGTCACTAATGCTAAATAAAGAGAGGTGTTAGCATGAAGGGAGGAAAAATAAAAAATATCCTTAATCTAGACTAAGTTGCATATTCGAAGAGTCTGGTAAATATTCTCCTCATAACCAGATCTTAAGCACAGTCCTACGAAAAAGACTTTTTAAAAAGTCCTTCCTAGCTACCTTCCAACGTGGTTAAAGCACACCTTTATGCCATCAGAATTTGCATTAGCTTTGTTTAAAAAGCATTTGAACTATTCTAAGAACTCAGTATTTTAAATTAAAAAAGATTTTTTTTTTCTACTGTTTCCATCTCACATCCTTCTCCATCCAGAACTACTCTACACATCCGATGGCTGGATGTAACACACTATGACCATGCTACTCTCTAAACATTCTACAGATTTTCAATAATAAAGATAAATAGAAAAGAGTTAATATACACGTTATATTTTACAACGTTTGCATCCAAGCTGTAAACTAATGTTTCTTTGAACTATTTACCCTCCATATACAAAAAGAATGAAACAACTTTCAAACACTGTGGGCATGTGATTCAAAACCGCTGAACGGAAGGCATCGAAGTTCACCTCAACACTTCCTTCACCTCTTCAGAAGTAGTTATTAACTAAAAAGAGGAAAAAAAAACAAAAAAAGCAGGGGTTTCCCCTCTTCTTCCCCCCTCCCTCCCCGTTTCTTCCAGACTTTCGTTGTAACAAAAAGAACAACCCCCAAAAATTCTTCATCTTAATGCAAACCAGCAAAGCCCAGAGAATACGAAAAAAAGGGTTGAAAAAAAATGGGGATTGCTTAGCTTATGAGTTTCCTGCAGTCCTCGGAAACACGGCTGTTAGTCCAGAGGTCCCTGGAAAATGAGTCTGATGTAGCCCTGCTCACCAGCCAGCTGATGGGCGCAGAAGGGACAGGCTGCGTGGAAAGTGTGAGTACCGTGGGGGAGAGGGATTTGGGACCAATAGGCCGTTGTCTTTTCAGAGCACACGTGTCCGCAGGGGCTGAAGGCGTGAGTGGGAGGTCCCGCGTCCACGTAAAAACCCGCTTCGCAGCCCAGCCACAGCGGCACGTAGGGGCCGACGGAGCGGCACATGGGGCACTCCCGATCCTTGCCGTCCCTCTCCTCTTTGTTCCCCCAGTTGTGGTAGCCGTGGACGTGGCCGCAGTTCAGATAAACCCAGGGCTGCTTCTCGTCTACCACATCTTTCCTCTTCATGCTGGGAAAGGCCAAGGTGTTGAAGCCCACCGGGCACTGGGGCCTGGCCGCGTTGATCTCCTGCCTGAGGGCCTCCAGGTGCTTGACGGTGGGGGTCCGGGAGAGCCCTTCGGCCGTGCGCCACAGCAGCGTGGCCCCACACAGGTCTATCAGGGAGCCATCCTGCAGCTGGTTCGTTTCGTTCTCCACCTGGTGGTGGACAAAGAGAGAGAGACACCTCACCAGAGGGTACCTGGAGAGCCACAAGATGCGTGGACCTAACACAAATCCGCCTGGAAGAGCCAGACAAGGCATTTCAGGCAAGACTGTCCTTACACAAGACACCCATAGTGTGTCAGGTTTTCCCTCTCCTCTTTTTTTATTAAAAAAAACCACCCTTCTTGACAAGTCTACTTTAGTCCTCCACCACGTTTCAGACTGTTTTCTTCACACACACCTTTCCTCTCCTCCAGAACAAGTCAGCTGTCAGCAATCATGTTCTGTGTAACATGTAACATGCTCTGACAAGCTCTAAGCAATCCTGCTTTAGCAGGGGAGTTGGATTAGATCTCTATGGTCCCTTCCAACCCTAAAAATTCAGTGAAATTCAGTGAAACCCTAGCTAACTGCATCACTTAAGTGTCTGCATAGCATTTCTTTTTGCTAAGAGGATCCCCAAGTCATACCCAAACCAACCCCCTCCTCCAAATGTCACCAATGCTTTGGAAACAAGAGAATCAACTCAGAACGCCAAGGTGGAAATGGATATCCAGATATACGGGCATGTGTCAATAAAACTCTTAATTCCAGAGAAAAGGAATTCTACAGAAAAGGAAAAGCGGGAAAACCTGAAAAGCATAAATTCCAGCAGGAAAATACTCTTTAAAAGGTGGTCAAGGCTACAACAGTCTGCTGTGCTCTTCTGCAAACCAGCAAATGAATTGAGAAGCGCAGCCTAGATCTGCAATTACATACCAGTTTGGAGACAAACACTATCAGTTACCCAGGCTGAGCCAGACACCATCCCACATGGACACACAAACACACAAGGAGCCAGCAGAGCTAATGACAGAGGTGACTTCCACACCAAAGGAGGCAGATTCCAGCCCCTGTTGAGCCATTTTCAACGGGCCGCGCAGCCATCGGTCGCTCCTCTTACCATCTTTCCCCTCTGCTGAGCTGATCTGGTCTCCCGGAGGCTGAACACGTTCCCACACACGGATATCTCCCTCCACACCCCTGGCTTGGAGTCTTCTGTAAATCCATTCCGGGGATGCATGACTAGAACCCCGTTTGTGGTCAGTCCATCCATTTGCCCATCCGACGTCTTCCACTTGGCAGCTTTCTCCTAAGAGAAACGACACCAACACAAACCTTTGATTGATCGGGTTGAAGGGGAGCTATGAATTTGGTTGGAAACTAAGCCTGCACTGAAGCTGGAGGAACAAAGAAAGAGATCTCTTACCCCAAGAAAGATGTTTTTTGAGGAGTCAAACCCCGCAGCGTATATTCTTGCTGTGAAAGGGGGGTTGCGCTCGCATATGATTCTGCAGGCAAACCGTGAGATAGTGCTCTGCACAGATTGCGTATCCGAATTGCTCTGACTTCCAGGAACTGTATCTGTCACTACAAAGTCAATAGGACTCTCCGTTGACCGACCAATCTGGAAAGGGATTTAGAAAAAAAATAACAAAACACACCACAAACCCATTTAGAAGTTTGCCTTTGGGCCTAGGAATATTCACAAACTCAAAACATTTAAAAGCAATCAAGGAAGAATCACAGCATTCCGGCTCCACGAATCTAAACGAAAGGTTTCTAAAGCCACATCTCAATGGATGAGTTATTCCACCTCCATGTGATCAAAGTTATTCTGAAGGCTGAGTACAGCCAACCAAAGGAAGGGGAAATGAAGTGATGTAATTAAGTCAATACTGAGATGATTTCCCATTGAAGGCCGCCTCATCAGAAAGGCTACACTCAGGTCAGCCGGACCAGCTGCGGCAGCGCCAAAACAGCGAGGAAAGAGCCAATTAGATGGAAAAAAAGTGATATTCAGTCACTTTGCACACCCAGAATATTCTGAATGGTGCCAGAGGAGGTTGGAGGTGTAGATGCAGGAAAATGAGATGACATGAGTTGCCTCTCCAGCTCCGGCAGGGCACTGAGAAGTATCAAAATTGTCAGGAAAGAGCAGGTCCAGGATGTTTGTGGTGGGGAGGAGTTACGTTAATGTACATGGAACACAATGTCTGACTACAAACTGATTTTTCTAGTAGTTGTGCCTTCTTTCTGGCTGCGTGGAAGAATGAGCTTTGCAGTCCCACGCAACTCTACTGGCTTTGATAGAATTAAATGGGTTTCACTGCTTTTCCCGTCAACTCATCTTGTCCTTTTCCTTATAAAGCATGAAAAGAAGTTACATCACAGAATGGTTTGGGTTGGAAGGGACCTTGAAGATAGAGTTTCAACCCCCCTGCCCTGGGCAGGGACACCTCTCACCACACCAGGTTGCTCCAAGCCCCCTCCAACCTGCCCTTGAACCCCTCCAGGGATGGGGCAGCCACAGCTTCTCGGGACAACCTGGGCCAGGCTCTCACCACCCTCACAGCAAAGAAGTTCTTCCTGAGATCTCATCTAAATCTCCCCTCTTTCAGTTTAAACCATTCCCCCTCATCCTGTGGCTCTCTTCCCTGACCCAGAGTCCCTCCCCAGCTTTCCTGGAGGGACTGGAGCTATCCTTTAGGGACTGGAAGGGGCTCGAAGGTCTCCCTGGAGCCTTCTCCGGGCTGAACCCCCCCAACTCTCTCACCCTGTTCTCACAGGAGAGAGGCTCCAGTCCTTACAGCATCTCCATGGCTTCTTCTGGACTTGCTCTCTCTTTCCAAACATCCACGTAGCCAGGTTTAAAACTCACTTACACACTACTACCTCTCACTTCCAGACATTTCAACAGCCCCACACGAAATAGCCGGTTACATTAAGACCAATTATTTGCTTGGCAGGAGACCCAAAAGCCCGGGGTGCGTTTTGGTGAAGGCTGGATGTGGAGCTTTCACGAGACCGAAACTGCTCTGGCAGAATTTATTTTTCTTTTTTTCTTCTTAGGCAGGATAAACCCATCACACACGGGGCCTGGCGCTGTCAGAGCGGCACACGCAGGCCACGGCACGCCTGGGGAGACAACACTCACAACCAGCAACAGCTTGTGTGGCAGTCGGTTCCTCCCAGCCCTTTTGCTCCACTGCAGGTATTTGCAGACCTACAAGAGCTTCCCAACAACTCCCACCCTTCTCAGTTCCTGCAGCAGCATCACAGCTAAATGCTGTGACAGCAAAACTCCTTGCCGTAAATCAGTGACGACAACAAAAAAAAAAATCAACGCAAGATCAGTCCAGGAACTGGGAGGAACAAAGCGCATTAAAAAACCTCCCCCAAAACCAAAACCCTGTCTTTTGAGAAGAAAACAGGAAACAATTACAAGATATGAGCGCACACCACAGCTGCAAACGTGTTTGTGGTTCTGTCTCGTGTACACAGGGGCTGCGACACAGTTGCTCTGAACTGCCAGCACATCAGAATTGGGTCTCCGCTCTCCACACCTCCCAGCACTTTAGACTTATTTCTGGGCTTGTTTCAAGGCCTTTGGGAGATTTTAGTTAGTTCAGTTGTGTCGAGCTTTCCTATATTTTCACACTGTACACTTCTTCTACCCTGATCCCAAATCCCTCCGTAAATGCTAGCAGTAAAGTTCCAAGTACTTAAAAAAACCCACGCACTTTATTCTTCATTTCACAAGGAGGGACCAGAAGACAGGTTTCATGACTTGCAGAGCAGCAAAGGCAAAGCCATAACACTGTGCATTAGTCACAAAAAAACCCCAACTTTCACCTCCAACCAAGCCTAAAAGAGATGCAGAGATCTGCAGCCTTGGGAATGAAGGGAATTAAGCGTCTCTGAACAGTCAAGTGCAGAAAAGTGACACGTGCAAACTTTTGGGTCTAAGGGAAAAAGCCTGTTGGGAGGATGCCTCATTAGAAACTACCAAAAAGCCAGAATACATTTATATATCATGTTTACTTCACATACCTGGAACATATCTGTGTTGCTGTCATGTGTATATTCAACTACCACTGTCTGGGCCCGGGACAAAGTGTATGATATGCTGTGTTGGTCCTTATTACTTATTGCCTATGGAAAAAATGCCAAATATTATTGAACCAGTCAACAGAAACTCTACTGAATACAGTCAGCAAAGCAGACAAATACAGAACCAGGCTCTCATTCTGCTCAATTAATGCATCGAGGCAGATGGTTGTTAGTGACACACCTGTAGTTTAACTTCACCAAAAAAACCAGTCCCGACCATTAAAAAAAAAAAAAGCTGCAGGATTGATTCAGCAACAGACCAAACTGGTCCCTTTACCACATGCTGCAACAAAATACATGTAACCAAGTCATATTATTAGTCATGATTCGTGTGAAAGCAGCGCCGGACTTGGCACAAAAGAACAAAACAACTGAGTGCAGAGGCTAAAACTGAACTTAACACCCTTCACAGCCTTCTGAGCCTCAACTTCTCTGACAGCAAAGCAAGGGCAAAAAACTTAGGGACTTCACTCTAAAACGGGATCCGAGCTCATACTAAAACATAACAAGTAGTGGTGGTGAAGGGGGTAAAATGCAGAAACTCGGCATGGGTTGCAGAAGCTGTAGCAAAGTCATCCAGGCTTCTAGATTTTCATTCTGCAACTACCCACTAGGAACTGAACAAACACTCTTCTGGAAGCGCTTCTAAATAGCACCCACTTGAAGACCATAAAGAATTAGCAAAAATAAACGTTCTTTTCACAGACCCTCTAGAGATATAGTTCTATTACAGTAACTTCTAGTTAGCAAAATGCTTCTGGCTTCAGAATATTTTATGCCATTCCTTGAATTCAGGAATCAAGGTTCTAAGTGTCAAGGTATTTAGGAAGTCAAACACTTAACACTACTTTATGTAGTGTTAGGGCCTGATCTTGACACTGGCATCTCTAAACAACCACCAAGTATTCTCTAATTCCATTTGTTTTAGTAGAAATGCTCCATTTATTTTGGAACATAACTGCACATACACTTAAATCGCCACAATACGGAAGTATTTCACAGTAATGCCTTAGCTGTAATATATTAGTTTTGACATGAAATGCAATTCAACTTCAGGATCTAAGCCCTTTCTTTACTGCATCTTAACAGGAATTCTGAACTCTATTCCAAGTGGTATAAAGCCTGCCCTGCAAAACCCACCTGTCCTCATCCCTGGGGAAAGCACCCATGGAATGGAGCAGGGAGCACACACAGAGCTCTGGCACCGCATCGTTTAAAAGTCAAGCTCCGTGGGAAGTGAAGTTAGCCCTAAAGCATGAATGAGTGCGAAATCAGGAAGGGCAGAACAGATGTCTGTAGTGAGTTCGGAAGGAAAACAAAACAGAAAAAGTGTTTTACATGACCAGCCTGTGCCCTGAACATTCATGTTTCAAAAATAAACATTTTTTTCTTTCTGGACACAGCAAGGACTGGGCACCAGATCTGTTTTGCTGAACAGCGTCTTGTTAAACCCGACAGGTACTGAAAAACCTTGGATTAAAACAAACCATTCTTTTCACAGCCAGAACTTCATGCTTTCTACATCATTTCATCTCAAGCGTAACAGCAGATTTCACTGAACTCTTTAGACAGCACCAGAAGAAATAAAGACTTAACCAGACAAAAAAAAAAAATAGAGCTTACTTACCTTTGCTGCTTGAGGGGTACAGGCAATATGCACAGTGCTGGGTTTCACCCCATTTGCCTTGGGCCTTTTAAATAAAGCAAACCTACTTTTTCTTCTTCCTCTATCTCCGTTTGGGAGAGACCCATTGTACCTATCAAAAGAACACAGAAAAAGAATAAAGTCCACCTTCCTGTGTTACTTAGCTTCTCGTGACATCCAGACCCACAAAAACTTTCATTCTAAGCAGAAGGTCTTCTTATTTAATATGGCATTAATAATTACAGATTTCCAATTAATCACACCTGTTTGGAGCTGAGAATTGGTTAGCCCAATATTGAAGTAATGCCCACAGGATTAAAGCATATACACACGCAGCCTGTAGGGCAAGGAATGCTATTCAGGATTAATCTCAAAGCTACTAGTGACAAACAAAAGAGACTCAGATCCCAAAGATGAAAACAAGTGAGGTTATACACCTTTTAAAGCAAGTAAGGTTATGTATCTGTAGCTTTATCTCTGATGTGTTCACACTGTACATGAAAGAGTCTAAATACTCATCAACCCCGGTGTAGACCTAGTATTTTAGAGAGTTTTGGATGAAATAAAACCCCATAAGAATCCTAGAATCGTCTAGGTTGGAAGAGAGCTTTGGGATCATCGAGTCCAACCATCAACCCTACTCTACAAAATTCTCCCCTACACCATATCCCCCAACACCACATCGAAACTACTCTTAAACACATCCAGGGATAGTGATGCCACCACCTCCCTGGGCAGCCTGTTCCAATGCCCAACCACTCTTTCTGTGAAAAATTCCTTTCTAATGTTCAGTCTAAACCTACCCTGTTGGAGCTTGAAGCCGTTCCCTCTCATTCTGTCATTAATTACCTGTGAGAAGAGACCAGCACCAACCTCTCTACAGTGTCCTTTCAAGTAGTTGTAGAGAGTGATGAGGTCTCCCCTCAGCCTCCTCTTCCTCAATCTAAACAGTCCCAGCTCCTTCAGCCGCTCCTCATACGATTTGTTTTCCAGGCCCTTCACCAGTTTCGTTGCCCTCCTCTGCACTCGCTCCAGCACCTCCAGATCTCTCTTGTATTGATGTGCCCAGAACTGGACACAATACCCCAGGTGTGGCCTCACCAGTGCTGAGTACAGGGGGACAATCACCTCCCTACTTCTGCTGGTCACGCTATTTCTAATCCAAGCCAGGATGCCATTGGCTTTCTTGGCCACCTGGGCACACTGCTGGCTCATATTCAGCAGCTTAGAAGAAACAGATATGCTGTCCTCCGAGATGCCAATTTAACCCTTTAGACCCAGATACACTGCAAACCCTCAGACCCTCCCTTTGACCGTGTCAACACCAACAGGCCAGCTGGCAAACTTGCTTTGTTAAAGTCTTCTGTTTGCACTTGAATATTACAGAGTTGGCAACCACTTTCTTATAAAACTCCTTTCATTTTACTTCAAGTCTGAGGGAACCTGTCCTTCCACATTATCCCATCAGTCATCTGTCTGGGTCCAACCCAGAACCAACTTGGAAAGCCTTTCCAAACTGCCTGCCTTTGTCATGAAACGCTTCCCTGGGAAGAACACAAGAGTGAAACCCAAACTTACACCTACTCAACTGTTTAGAGCCCGACCTTCACACTCACACTGTCCCCAAAAGTTATGCCTACTGCACTGCAATTCTCCAATATATCACACTATGTACAAGGCCACCAAAAACAGCAAGCCCACTTTCCTTGGCATGAGACAGCTACCAAAGAGAAGCCTATCAGTTGCACCCTCACCAGAAACATTGCAAGAGGGAGTTCAAGGGAGAGGTTGTGGGACCCTCTCCTGCAGCAACCTGCATTTTATCTGCTCTAGGTGCACCCTGGAATTCTACCTTCATTGCCACTTCCAACCAAGATACAAAGACTTACCCTAATACAATCAATTCACCATATTTTACTGGTGCTTTTGATGGATGATTTTCTTGATCAGGAGAAAACATGAGCTTAGCTAATGACTTCTTCTCAAATTTCAGGTCTCTGATCAAGAGTTGTGGCACACTTGTTTCATTATTTCCTGTAAAAACAAAGATAAAATTAAGAGTAAGAGAAAAGACTCAAATCCATCGATTACACAAACCCGCACACCTATCTGATACAGTAGGCACAGTATTTTGCCTTTTCTATATTTTGGATTTGCCTGAAATAATTTTAAAAACATCCACTGAAAACCACATCAATTAAGGTTGAATTGCCTGGAAGAACCACCAGATCACAAAAAAACCAAAACCCCACAAGTACATTTAGAAAAATTCCAGTATGGTCTTGATGAAAAATCCACGGTCATCTTCCTTCATGCTAGTTTTTAGTATAAATGGCATATAACTTCATTTGTATGTTTAGTTCAATTATCACAGAATCACATGGGGTTGGAAGGGACCTCTGGAGATTATCTAGTCCAACCCCCCTGGCATAGGAGGGGGGGTCCTGTCTACCTAGAACAGGTTGCACGGGAACGTGTCCAGGTGGATTTGGAATGTCTCCAGAGAAGGAGACTCCACCACCTCCCTGGGCAGCCTCTTCCAGGGCTCTGCCACTCTCAAAGTAAAGAAGTTCCTCCTCATGTTTAGGTGGAACTTCCTAGGTTCAAGTTTGTGCCCATTTCCTCTGGGCACTGGGCACCACCGAAAAAAGACCAGCCCCATCCTCTTGACACCCTCCCTTTAAGTATTTATAAGCATTGATCAGATCCCCCGTCAGTCTTCTCATCTCCAGACTAAAAAGACCCAAGTCCCCCAGCCCCTCCTCATAAGAGAGATGCTCCAGGCTCCTCATCATCTTTGTAGCCCTCTGCTGTACCCTCTTCAGCACCTGCATGTCCTTAAACTATCATGAAGTAGAGCCAGAAAAGGATTAAATTTAAAGAAAAAACCGCAAACAACCAAAGCAAGACCTGCCCATTAGCTAGAGAGATAGAAGTTTTCATGGCAAACATCTGATTCAGAACTTTCCAAGAAGTTTCTGGACTTGTAGATGGGAAGAAGTTGTATGACAACTTGGTACCAAGTTTGGGGCATGTAGTGTGATCTCTCGTGTTTAACCAGAGACAGAAGTAATACAAACAGCTGTTTGCAGGAGACTCAGGAAGGGGAATTCAACATAATTCTTGATGAGAACAGTCTCTTGAAGTGCAATTTTTCATTACACTTCTGCTTTGAGGAACAGTTCACACTAGTTATTTTACAGCTTCTCATTAGTAACGTTTCCAGACACCTCTGACCCATCCCTGACCCACTCCTGTAGAGAAAAGCCTTCCCACCAGAGCCCTTGCTCGATAACGAATAAAGCTGATGCCAGCCTGTTTGAGGCCTTGTTTAACAAAACAAGAAGAATCCCTTGGTTCTTTCAAGTAAGTTTTCATACCAACTCAAAAAGCTATTTACTAAGTGGCTTTGTTTTTTTTTTTTTTAGTACTAATGGTTAACATTCTGCCTTCTGTTCAAACAGCTCCTAATGTTTTAATTTCCTCCCCAAATGATTAGCCTATTTTCTACTTGAATATTGATCTCCTCAGCAGTCTCCCTCCCGCTCTTCAGTCATCCATCTGACTTCATCTTGGCCACTGCATTTCACAAGCAAGGCTTCACATTTCTTTTGGTTGTCCTCTGAACTGGCATTTAACAACTCAGAAGAAATACTGCTGTGAAATCTATAGCACCACCCATTAGGAAATAGCATAGGAATAGTAAACACCATGGCAGAATTAAAACAAAAAAGATTTCAATAGTATCCACCCAACACTATGGTGTTTAAAAAAAATAAGCTGATCCATTCACTTAGAGAAGGTGGGAAGACAAGCATTAAAAATAACTTTAACTTTTGCCACTAGTACAAGAAAAGGTTTGGCATAACTTCTCCTCCGCTCACCCAAGTGAACAATTTCATGGAAAACTAAAAAAATACATCTCCCAGTCACAGACTCAGCTTTTGAGTCTCATTAGAGATAATTACACATGAAGAGTGAAAGAAGACTGAAGAAGTTGGTGAAGAGGTGGCCAGTAACCTCCTCATTGGAGACAGCCAAGCAGAAACCGTGAGAGGGGCCAACACTTCCAAGGGACAGACTTCAGCAAGGCAAGAAGTGAACTAGAACTTCTTAATACAAGGAAAAGTGTCCAACATTTAACGCTCAGCTCCCCCCCTTAATACGTTTTTGTTTAACATTTAAAGATATCCAGCCAAGTTTATTTTGGGACCAGCACACATGATGGAGACCCGCTTCTTACTTAAGGATGGTTCAAGAGCTAGCCATCTAAAGCTACCATTAGTAAAACAGCTTGCTTATACATCTTTAAAGGCCTGAACCTAATTTTTTAAAAGATGTCTCATAACATTTATAAGCTGCACACGTCACTTTCACAGCTACTAAAATCCCGTAACTTCAAAATTCAAAGCCCCTAAAAAACCATAATCAGTGCAACGTACATGCTACTTCTCGCCCGGTATGATCTGCCTGATGCACTGTACCCCAAAAAAGGAAGACTCATTTCATTCCCAGAAATAACAAAGATTATATTCTTCCAGTGAGTTCCCAAAGCCTAGTCCGAGTAACATGTAATGTCTGCAAATAAAATTCAAGTGTTCTTCCACTAGAGAGGAGTCTAACGTCCCCTAGGAGAACATCAAACCTGTCCAGTTTTTATTCCTGGAATACTACAAGAGACTTCTTGAAAGTATTAGGAAAGGCTAATTAAATATATTACAGAGACAACTTGGCCCTGTAGTCCCAGTACACAATTAAGCAACCAACTGCTTAAGCAAAAGACGTGCAAGTTTGCTTTTTGCCATTTTGCAGCTGCATCTCTGGCCACCGGTGGAGGAGGCTTCATTGAAGCAGGCTCTGAATAACCAACTGCCCCAAAACTCCTGCAAGTCCCTTCCACAGTGATGAGGAACAAGGTGTTAATTAACAAGATGCCACCCCATCCTACATTCTTCAGAAATCATAGATTTTTGCAAATCATAAGTTTGCTGGTAGCAGCAGATTGTCACCTCAAGATCTCCACTTCTGCTACAGAGAAGGGACTAAAGCCTGAAAACTCCGTGTGCAGCCCTGTATTATACAATATAATTAGTAATGCAACTTGCAAGGCAGATTAAACAGTTTTGGAAAGGCACGACTCGATGGGATAAGAGGCAAACCCAACTATTTGCAGTCAGCAGAAAAGCACGATGGGCACCAGTCTCAAAAATAGGAAACTGGAAGAGGAAGAGCTCGTAAACAAGCGATGCATTTTTATTCTTAATACTGGTTCCTCTGGAGCCTGGAGAAAGCTCCCGGAAGGTAACCTGCACAATACTGTCACATGCAACTCTCTTGTGGGACAGGAAAGAGATAACATCTAAACTGAAACAGAAAAATAAAAAAATTGTTTTGTTTGAGGAATGGAAATCCTGCTTTCTCACAAACCTTCCTGTTCCACATTCACTTGAGTCACAGAAGGCAAAGACTGCGATGGGAGAAAGCAAACCAGAGATTTCTGATTCCATTCAGGTTCGAAGGAAAAGCCTTATCATCATCCTGTCACATTCACACACCAGTCTCTGAAGGCAGATTGTCTGGGAAGACCCAGCAAACCGTCCTTCAGAGTAGATGAAGAGTCAAAGAGCCTGCCTGCTTTCACTCAACATGCCATTTTCAGCGGGGCACCTAGAGATATGCTGAATTTTGAGTGGTTTTCAACTATCAGCTTTAGCTCACCAGCTATCCTCCATCATCCAGCTGCCTTTTCTGATCACGAGACTCATACAGGACTGGTCTTTGGTGGCTTCTTCAGAAAGTCTTCAGATGGCGTTTGCTCTGAGGCGCAGTCCCTCGTGAATGAGTTCCCTATTTAATAGGCCAAGTGCAGCTTTTTGGAATTGCAGCAAGAATAGCAGTATCTTAATGGTTAAAATGAGGCAGGGGGGAAGGGAGAACATAAATTCAATGAGCCCAAGCAGAGATTCATTAAACACTCAACTGTGAGCTAAAAATACTAGAATAAAAGTCTCTTTGTAATAAATTACCATCATTTTCTAAACACAGAGCCAGCATTATAGGCTGCTAGCAACTGTAGCTAGTGCCAGACTAGCCCTTTTCTAAAAAACTGCATAAAAAGCCCCCACTTCCACAGTAGAAAAAGAAGTCCTCTGTCAATGAGTACATTAAATAAAAATATGCTGATTCAGATATAAAAATGGGGGGGAGATATCAAATTTTTGCATTATGTTCTTTATATTCTGTGTCTACGTATTCTAAGGTTCGGATTTTTCTGGCTTTTAGAAATAAAGCACAAAACAGCTTGTCTACTGACCTTTTTATTTTTATACAATTTGCTATTTGTAGTTCTCCATTTACTATCCTTGTAATTCTCATATCCACTCCTCCCTCCGTAATTCTGTGTTAAATCGGGGAGGGGGGGAAATACAGTCAAAACATAATCCAGCCCTTCTCACAGATATGCAGTGACAGGACAAGAGGCAACAAAGGAGCTGCAACAAAGAAATCCCTATTAACCATTGTGGGGAGGGAGGAAAAACATAAATGAAGAGAGTTTGTGGGATCTCCATCCTTGGAAATACCAAAACCTCAGCTGCACATGCCCCATGACAACCTGATCAAAGGCCGTCCGGTCCCACTTTGAGTAGGGGGGACATTTATTTTGAGACAATCTCCCAACCTAAATTATACTAGGAATACAATTAACTTTAAGAAGCCCAAGACAAAATTTTAAGGTGCATATTTCAGTTGCTTGTTAAGTGCCACTTTTCATCAGTTAGACCTAAATTATGAGCAACTCCATTACCAATGAAACAAAATTTTATCCTGAGATTTACATATTACCATCTATTGCTTTGTTTGGATTTAAAACCCCATTCTTCTCTTCAAACCAAGAATTCATATTGAATAGTGTAGTTACCTGACAAAACACCAGTAGGACCCCAGTTTGCCAACATCCATTTCCACATTTAAGCTCTTTAGTACTCCAGTTTCCAATCTTACAGCTGCAAGATCAGAAACCAAAACTCCCCTGAACACACACACAGTAATTTAGCGCTGTATAATCTCTTCTACGGTTACATCTCACCCCTTCAAAGGCAAAAATCTTGACTTCCAGATTTAAAGGACCAGAATATGAAAGTTAAAGTCACTGTGAGACGCAAAGGACCCATGCAGAATTCTAGTCTCTCAAGATGAAGGGTATTTGCAAGCATGGAAGAAAGAAGCTCTAAGTAATGAGAGAAAAGTTAAAAAAAAAACCCAAATCAAAGTAAATCCCAGGAGACTGCCTGCTTGTGCAAACACAAGTCCAGATTTCACAAACAATAGCAACGATATTCCTGCTGATCCACACTAGTGCGAGCAATAAGGAATTGGCTTCTTGCATCACCACCTTTCTGAAAGCTGAGACACAGATTGGGATTCCCCCCCTAACCATTCTATGATTCTATAAATTACTTTCTTCTACAAGATGGTTAAATCACCAGTGGGAAGTTATTCTCCTTTAACTGTTTTTTTTTTTTTTTTCCCTAGCAATCTCTTTGGTGGCTTTTGTTAAAATAGTTTTTACTGAAGAAATCACCTGGGTAAAAAGAACACACAGAAGAGCATGTGTTTATCAACGAGTTTTCACACTTCCTCAGTTTCCAGTTAAAAACAAGTTCACATTTCCCTTCACACACGTACCTGGAACTTTGAGTTTTGCAGGTTTTATATTCCACTTTTGAGATTCTATTTACACCTTGCATCCTTCACTACAGATGCCCAGGCAAGGTATAGCGATGCAGCTCTTACCTATTCTAACTGCACTGTCACTTTAGGTCAGTAGTCCTAATTTACCTTTCTAAGGAAGGATAATTCATTTTATCCTTTCTAGAAAAGGGAGTTGCTCATCAGCAAAAAAAAAAAAAAAAAAAAAGAGTTAGCCTTGGGACTGTGGAAAATTAGTCCAGCCTTTTGCTTTTGTATGGCTTATTCTTTCCTTAGTCTATACTGTTCGCCTTTTCTTTTATAACCTCTGAATAAGCTTAGTCATCCAACTATGCACACAAAAGTGTCTTATGATATGAAAGCAGTGAAAATAAGACAAGGCCAAGCTCTGGAATGAGCAAGCAGTCTCTCCTGCACAGGGTAACAAGCGCGGAACAATGCAAACAACTCTCTGCTGCCGTGTCTTGAGAACATCTGCAAAAATCTCAAGAGGGGGTTTTTCATTGTCATAAACAGAATGAAAGCATCTTTTTACCACGGACATCTGCCATTAGTAGGCTGGTCAAGAGTCACAGAACACCGTAAAAAAAAAAAAAAAAGAAGAAAAAAGAAAGGCATGTTGCCTGTAGACACCTTCAGAAGAGGCACTAACTTGATACACAAGAGCAAACCTGCTTTGCACCAAGGCTACAACTAACTTTTTCCAGGCTAAGAAATGGCAGTTTTAGTCAGCTTGCCATCCAGTGTCCTGCTCCAAGTCCTTGTTTCAGCCTCAGGAGCAAGCCTGAGAAGTTCTTAGCAATTTTAGGGAAGGCAGGAATAGGAGTGTGAGGACAAGCACCTTTGTTCAATGAAGAAGGCAAGTGTTTTAGAACAAGACTTCTATTATAGGCACTTATGAGAGTCTGGACTTTATGACAGTACTCAAAAATAGCATTCCTGTTCAGAAGATGGAAAAAAAAAATCTGTCTAAGCACAGGGGCCTGATTTCAGTCAGACCTCTGCTAACTTCAAGTCCTGTGATTCTGAACTGCTGCTGATGGGATGAGATGGTGCCTGGTGTATTAAACCTGGAAGATTTGCGTAAGCACTAACGATCCGCTCTGACAGAGTGACAAAAACAAATTCTGAAAATATTCCCCCCGAAAAAAAAGAATGAAATAAAAATCATCCAGCCTTTTTTTTTTTTTTCCAGTTAGGAAAAGTAACAGCTGATCCTCCCCTGAGGAAACCACGGTAGCCTCCTACAGGTTCTAAATGATGTAATTCAGACTGCGTGTGGGAAGCTGAAAACATTTGTCTTTCAGCACAAGGTGTCTATTTTAAAAAGCTGCCACTGCGATATTATCCATAACCTTAATTAGCCGAGAAAGTTCTTCGCCAGCGAGCCCACGGCGTTTACATGCAGCCTCACGCCCCCTTACCACCCATGTCCTCCACGTCAGCTCTGGGATACACCAGTGACGAAGCGCGCATCCTCGCAGGAGGCAGAGCTCCTCCGCCGGCCGCCCCCGCACAGCACCGGGTCCCACACGCCGCAGGTTGGACTCGCTCAATCAATCAGCTGAGCCACCTGTGAAAGTTATTCACACCAGCTACTTTCAAGAAGATTCATTTCCAGCTTTCTACCCAAGCTGCTGGCTCTACTTGCGCTTGGGCTGGTACGGCAAACTCTGCGTGTTTTGTTAAAATGGGACAGCTTTGATTTCATGCTCAGATTATCATACAAAGATTATTTAGATAACCTGCAACGCATGAAACCATAAAACAATAAAGCAGAGGCCCGCTGACAGAAAATTAACTGTTCATTAGCTGTAGCACTATATATTTGTACCTTTGGGGAGTGCCTTGCAAAAGTACAAGCATTGATCTACACTAGTGCGAGCAGTAAGGAATCGGCTTCCTGCATCACCGCGTTTCTGAAAGTTGAGACACAGCCCGAGATTCTGTGAAACTCAACCAAAAAAAGCTTTGTCCAACACTGGCACAACGTGGCAAAAGGATGGTTCCCATACAGAGAACTTTGCAGTCGGGATCCTTTAAAATTATGTCCTTTACTGCCTTCAGACACATTATGCAGTATTACCTTAAATATAGGCAGTCTCAACTTCCAATGAAAGTCAGTGACAGAAGCACAACTTTATATATATATATAAACACACAGAGAGATTAGGAGTTTATACCATATACAGAGGTATTTTACTTTCAGAAGGGCCGCTACGCAAACAGACAGAGCTTTTTATGCTCTGATGACTAAGCCCAGGCAGATCTACTGCCTGATGCACCTGAACTAGAACACAGCCACCGACCCCGTGCTTGCAGAAAACCACAGTGACTTCTTGTTCTACAGATCTCAACGTTACGGTTCTGGTTTTTTATGAGCCTCTGACTTCCTGACGAGGCGGTTTACGCACCGAAGTATCCGGTAAATAGGTGTCTGTATTACACTAGAGCCTTCTCACATAGCGTGCTGTATCATCTAGCAAAAATAGGAGTGACTATTAGGAGACATCCTCCTTGGTATGGTTTTGTTAGGTAATGACAGTTTCAAGGCATCTTTGCTCTGAGCCCTATAAATGAGAAGCGACTGACGCTTCTTATGAACGAGCAGCAGTTATTATACTATGCACTTTGATTGTCTCCTCTTATTTTAGGTGGAAGAAACGCTGACTGTTCTCGGGTCTCCTTCCGACCACATCGCTGAACTATCTTTTAACTGAAAAACACTGACACCGAGGAGGCTTTTAGAAAAGAGACTGCGAAAAATACAACACTAGGAAGGGGAACGCGATGGCATGCAGAGCACTTACCTGTATCTTTTTATCCTTTCAGAATTTCTACGCAGTACAGAAGAATTATATATAAATCAAACCACTCTTTGGAGCTTGTTTAAAACCAGCCGAAATCCACCAACTCCTTTAAAACCCGCAGCAACTGCCAGACTAGAGCGAGTGCCTCTGCTCCCTCTGCTTTTACTTAAGCGGTGGGTAGTTCCTTCCGACAGGAGAGGGGCTGGCTCTGCCTTGCGTCAGCCGGGTAAACCCTGCCGTGCCAGGCTCCATTGGCTGAGCATCCTGCTCAGCCCCTCCAGAAATCCATCCCTGTCCGGACCCAAAAAGGCAAAAAGGAAGCAGAGGGTGTGTTGAAAAGAAAGATCCTGCCGCCCAACTCCCCAGCAGCTCCGGGAATGAGGTTCTGGGAGAAACACTGATCTATTTCCTTCTCCGCTTCCCTTACATAACTGTACCCATGCACGCTATACCTTCTCTCTTTTTTTTTCCCCTTTAATTTAAATCATCACTTATTAGCCCAGCTAGCTTTCCTCACCTCCCACGCAAAAAGTGATTTCTTAATACAGTGAGAATAAACCAGCAGAACCTCTCGAGGCATCGCCATCCCCGGTTTCACTAGCGCTGTGGAAGCAGACCCAGGACACACTGGCAGAGCCCACCTGTACCCAAACTCCCAGGGCCAACCTATAGCTCATTCCTATAGGATACACGTTCAGAAAAGGCAAACCTGCAGGTGCTAGACCAGTTTCTGAGCTCAGCTCTTATTCCACCAACATGGAAATCACTGCATCGAGCCTGTGGGTGGGATAATTGAAATGTCTGAGCCAGAAAACGGTGATGGAGTTACCCACCGCTTCCAAGTTACCACCGCCTCTTAGAACCCATCGCGCAAACGCTCCCAGGCTGCCGCAAGCACGGTACGAGGCAGCAGCTCAACCTTCACAGCAAGTTTGTAGAGGGCCAAGAAGGTGTTCACGGTTACCCTGGCTCAAGCCACATCTATGCAGGCTGACAGTTGACATCTCCCAACTTCTACAGGTGACTACTGCTCCCCGCACACGCTTCTGCTGTCCATTCCTCAGTTTGCCTCCTTGATTTTGCAAGCGCAGTTCCAGGGACTGGTTTCCCTAATCCATCCATGCTTTTCAAAGCTGGTTTACCTGCTCAGGTGGTTTTCAGCCAGATCTGTTTCCCAGTTCAGCTCACAGCAGTGGTACCAGCAGAACCGATGGTGGGGAGGCAGCACTCAAAGCCCTGTGCTCTCAAACCCACTCGCTGTTCATAATGGCACAGAGTGGGTTTGGTTGGAAGGGATCGTTAAAACCATCAAGACCAACCATTAACCTAACACTGCCAAGCCCACCACTAACCCACATCCCTCAGCACCACATCTACATGTCTTTTAAATATCTCCAGGTATGGTGACTCCACCATTTCCCTGGACAGCCTCTTCCAAGGCTTCACAACCCTTTTGGTGAAGAAATTTCTACTAATATCCATCCTAAACCTCCCCTGGCACAACTTGAGGCTGTTTCCTCTTGCCCCATCACCTGTTCCTTGGGACAAGAGACCCCCTGGCTACATCCTCCCTTTCAGGGAGCTGTAGAGAGCGAGAAGGTCTCCCCTCAGCCTCCTTTTCTCCAGGCTGAAGACCCCCAGCTCCCTCAGCTGCTCCTCACAAGACTTGTGCTTGGGATGTATGGTAACTCAGCACAAGTTGCAACTCCACCCAAGTCAGCTTTCACTGCTGAGAACAAGGCAAACACCAGTTTTCTCCCTCCTTGGCCTGTGCCCTCCTGCCAGCCTTTCCCTACTACCCAATACTTGTAAGGTTGTGCTGTTACGTGCCACCTACCCGACAAACTCAGCTGCAGAACTCCTTGCCATAGGATATTCTGGATAATAAAACCACACATAGGCTCATAGACAGCTTCTCCCCACCCCACTCCTATCAGAGATTACTATGCACAAAGATACCTCTCTGCTCCACAGAAGTCATTCAGCCCCAGGTTGCTGAACTCTGAGAAGTACCTGGAGAAGCCTTGATGTAGAGGTGCTCCCCTATTCCATTCTTCTCCAGGTTTCTGCTTCTGGCCACCAAAGAGGACACACCACTGAATAATGATCTCAGACAGCACGGGTCATTATCACAGCTGTCAGATTGCTGAGCTGGAAACAGGCTTAGGAAAAACCAAAGCACAACACACAAGCCCCAAGTGTTTTAACCCAAATCATTTTGCTAATCTGTTTGCGGGTTATTCTGTAAACCCACTGTGGCAACCCAAGTGAGGGGATAGGAACCTCCCGCATCAATCTCATCAGTAAAGCCAGGACTCATCAAGCCACATCTTGAGATTAAAGTTGAACCCTTCTCCTTGCCAAAAAAATAGAGGCACTCACTTTACTGGCAGGTGAATCCAGCTTTTCCACTGCTAGCTTGCAGAACCCCAAAATGGCACCATTCACTGCGGTGGAAGCATCACCTACTCCAACCTCCCCCATCACCTCCAAGTATTTTATATTTCATGCCAGCATGAAATACATTCATACAAGGTTGAAATACATTCATACAATACATACAAGGTTGGCAGCTTTCAAACTGTTTCAGGCAGGGCTAAGGGTTTGGTTTTGGGCATTTGTGCCTTTTTTTAAGGAAAAAAAAAAAGACCCAACAAACACAACAGCAACGATAAGTCCCATTGGTATGACCACTTCTACGCATCATTACTTTCCGCCCATAACACTCCAGTTTTACTGTTTCAGAAGCATTTAGTCTGAAAAGAAGAACTTAAGACTAATTTGCTTCTAGAGCTCCTTTATTATCTCCTCTTACAGAGGCCACTGCTCAAAGTCCAGATGAATAAACCTGTGGATTGCTTGATGCTGCAGCCACACAAGAAGTTACAGAACGAGCAACTGGAGGTGGAAATGCCTTCTGTTGCCCAACCCAGCCTGCCACAGATAAGAGTCCTTATCTCTGCACCCCACCTGCCTTCCTATTAGTGACCCAAGGTATTCTGGAGCAGAGTCTTCTGGTATTGGGCAAATACACCACATTATGCTCTTTTCATAGCACGCTGTCCCTGTCTTAAAGCAGTCTTGAGGGTTTATTTCACCTTTAGACACACTGCTGCCTCTGAACCTCACCTTGCAGAGCTCCAACTGCTTTGTTTCCCTGCCTGTGTTTACTCCCAGGCACACTCTACTCACCCAGTCCTGTGTCAACGTTGTCCCTCACTTTTATTAAGAGGAGGGCTTAATGATTTCCACTCCACACAAGACCTGTGCTCTGCCTTGAGGACAGGAAGCGTGCTGTCGCTAGGCAAGCTATCGGATTTTTTTTTTTTTTCTGGAGCAGAGATACTGCCGACCATGCCAGACTAAAACAATGAAATCTGTAGCCCAAGATATCACTGCTAATTTCATGAAGTGATGCTTAACTGCAGGGGAGGTTCTTTCCTTGAAGTTGTTAAAGAAATAAAGGGCTGTATCGTCATGTTCTTCTATCTGACTCACGAGCAGATGCTGTACAGTTTGATATAATTACGTGATTTCACATTGACATTCAAAATGAGCTTTGAAGAGGAATGAATTTCTAGCTCTATCAGTTAAAAAGACAGCCTCGCAGATACAAGCAAAGGGCAATACTATGTCCCTTACCGTGCAGGGAGCCAAGCAGCAAACTCCTCAAACTTAACCTGATCAGTATATCACCCCTAAATTTTAAGAAGGACATTTTAAACATGTCTCTGTTGGTATTTTTATTTAACAAAACAGGCAGTGGGATAAAAAACCCAGACAGGATGAGTGCTTGAAATTGCCACAGGCAGGGTACAGAGGAAAGGATACCGAAGGAAACACTGAGAAAGGAGAGCAAACCCATGGAAGAATAGGATCTGTAGTGTTCCCAAGGGGGAAGTAGATTTGTACACTCAATACAGAAGGCTGAACACACACTATACCCCACCTTAGCTCAGTTTCCCACGAAAGTCAGTGGTTGAACTCTGACCAAATCCAATGATGCCCCCAAATCCCAAATACTTCCTGTGTTGAAAAGCATGAATGCAGTTAGGGGGTACCCAAAAGTCCAACCCCAGGGACATGGGGGAAGAAGAAAGGGGGGGAAGACTACTGACTTGCCAGCCCCGTTAAACTTTCATTGTGTTATGTCACGTGTATAACCCCTGTGAAAGGAGTTCCCATGTTACACAGTTAATAAAGTCATACTACAGTGTTTTAAGGAGGTTATGGCATGGGGAAAAGCAGCCTGAAGCCAAGAACATGCTAATTAGAGCACACAATAGAAATGTTAATCAAATAATCTGCAGGAAGAGGAGGAGGGAAGGAAATTACCTAATCCCCTGCACTACTGTGTGGTGCCTTGTGGCAAGAAATAAGAAAATTCTTGTAAGGGCCGAGCAAACAAAGGTCCATTGTTAGAGCTACAGCTTTCAGAGAACGCTTTGCTGCATCTCAAGTTGCCACAACACGAAGGGTGCATGGTACTTTACGAGCTCTTCCACACTGACCACTTCTGGCAGAGGAGGGAAAGGCTCGTTAGACTGGCAGGACAGTTGAGTAAGAGAGATCTAAGTAGAATCTCAAGTTCTTAAGGCACAGCAAGTTCTCCTTCAAAGGGATTTGCCAACTCCAAAGCAGCCAAAAGCTACAGTGATCCTTAGGCAACTGTGGAGCAATTCGTGGCCGAAGCTGCAGTAGCCTAGCTACAGAGAGGCAACAAATCATCAACCCTGCCGAGAAGTGTTTCCCATGACACGAGTCATCCTTTGCCATCAGACAAACCCAAAGAGCATTTCTTATGAAGCCCCATTCCACCCTTAGATCTTTGCGTGCCCGCTCTTTGGGTACACCAGGGAAGCCCTTTCCACTCAAGGACAGCACGTTACCATCAATCCACTTCCCATCCTGCAGACTGAAAAACAACCGTCCCTTTGTCTCCAGCTTGCTCTCTGCTTCAGCAGGCACATACAGCTTTTAGCCCTATACCCACTCAGGACTCTCAACTTCCTATAGGGCAGAGACCTCGTTAAGAAAAGCGCATGAAAGATTCCTGATCCTTGCACTGAGAACATATTTCATAGTTAACCTTACTGTGAGCTGAAGGAATTTCAGGCAGGAATAAAGA